ACTTTAGAAAAGCTACATGTGACTAGGCTGCTCATGAGCCTCATGTGATCTTGGTCTGTCAACTAGTTAGTCTCAGTAACTACCAAACATCCTCAAAGCCCTCAGAGAGTCTCAGGAACTCCTGACTGAAGCGCTTCTTTCTGCTCTGATGTTTGACGAGCCGTGAAGCTCATTTAAGATCAGTCACGGTAACGTTTTCATTTTGAACTGATTTATGATTTATTCATTTAAGACTAAGAGTAATTTAAAAGACACACAGAACATCCTTTACTTACATTATTTCTGTTTCACAACTTTAAAACACACATAACTGTTAGGCTACAAAACGAGCCAGAAGTAAACCTTGCGTTAAATTATTTTGCACTGATTTAATATTTATTAATAAATTGATTACACTCTGAAGCAAAATAAAACAACAACAAAAACACGCATCTGGTAAATAATTAATTTTTCTTAGTACAAATATATTATTAGATCTTCATCTGCCCATCCCTTCTTCAAACTGCTTGTCCTCTGTAGGCTCGAGAGGATCTGGGGTATATCCAATGTCTTGGACCGCAGACGGAGAAACGCTGGACGCATGGCCAGTCCGGTCCATCACAGGGCTTCATCTGTAATATATTATAATATATTAAAAAAATTAAAGTAAGCGGAAGCGCCCTCCTGTGTTGAATTGTGTGAATTACATTGCTGCTCTTTGTTCCTAGCGCTATAACTCGAGCCAGAGGATAATTTTGCATTGATTTAATATTATTAAATTAATTGTTGATTACCCTGTGATTTTACTGATTATTGGTTAGTAAAAATATATTCTGTATATATGTAATATATTTATAAATTTGAGTCTGCAGAGTTCAGCTGCCCTCCAGGGGTAAATTGAACGAATTACATTGCTGAGTTGATTAATTTAATTTAATATTTTTTTTAGAAATATATTCTTAAATCGGTAATACTGTAAAAAGACTAAAGTCTCTTAATATTAACTTTAATAAAATATTTTTGCATGGATTACATAATTCTCTTGTGCATTTTCTTGTATTGTATGATTTGTTAAAATACACATATTTTAAAACGTAAGAGGTCAGAATCAAAGGAACTTAACCAAACACCGCCCTCCTGTGGTGAATTGTGTGAATAACATTGCTGCTATTTTTTAAGGTTATAACTCGAGCCGGAGTTGGCATTACAATTTTTTATATTGATTTAATATCATTTAATAAATTGTTGATTACCATATGATTTACTAGATGTTGATTACATTTGCCAAATAACCGCTTTTTATAAGCAGAAAAATATTCTTAGATCTGCAAATTACAAAATTGCAGTCAGCGAAACGCAAATTAACGCCCTCCTGTGGTGAAATATGTGAATTACACCAGAGCTCCTCCCGTAGAGGGAGACTCCCAACTTTAGCTAAAAATGCGTAATGCGTAAATCAATGGAGGAGATGCCTGAATACGCTGTATAACTCGCTTTTTTACGAAAACAACTCGACACATCGTAAATGAACTGCCTTGATGTAATCAATTTTGAGCTAGTGTCCGCTTCAAGGAAATCGCTGCGACAAGGCTATTATGGTCCAGCTAAATAAGTAGCTATATTATAGCCTACTTTTATCTCTTCTCCGATTGTCATACAGTTTTTTGCTGTCGTTGTTCCTCCTGAACCGGCTGATTTTTTTCTATTGCTATAACTCGAGTCGGAATTATTTATTTTATACTTAAATTATATTTAATAAATTATCGATTATCCTGTGCAGCAAAAGAACATCTGGGGAAATATATTCTTAAATCAGTAAACAGAATACTGTATAGTCTCTTAATATTAACTTTAATTTAAAATATTTTTGCATGGATTACATAATTCTGTAGTGCATTTTCTTGTGTTGTGTGATTTGTTAAAATACATATATTTTAAATCATGCGAATCAAAGGAACGTAACCAACGCCATCCTGTGCTGAATTGAGTAAATTACATTGACTCGAGTAGACTAAAAAAGTGTTTTAATATTCATTTCAAATCATTTTTAAAAACATGCGAATCAAAAGAACTTAACCAAACGCCCTCCTGTGGTGAATTGTGTGAATTACATGGCTGCTATTTATTTTGGTTATAACTCGAGCCGGAGCTGGCATTCATTTTTTTATATTGTTTTAATATCATTTCATAAATAGTTGATTAACCTGTGATTTACTAGATGTTGATTACATTTGCCAAATAACCTCTTTTGATTAGCAGAAAAATATTCTTAGATCTGTAAATTACAAAATTGCAGTCAGCGAAACGCAAATTAACGCCCTCCTGTGGTTAAATATGTGAATTACACCAGAGCTCCTCCCGTAGAGGGAGACTCCCAACATTAGCTAAAAATGCGTAATGCGTAAATCAATGCAGGATGTCCGAATATGCTGTATAAACCGCTTTTTTTTTTTTTACGAAAACAACTCGGCACATCATAAATTAACTGCCTGGGTGCTAATTTTCAACAAGTTTGTATGTCAATTGTAAGCTAGCGTCCGCTTCGAGGAAATCGCTAAATAAGTATATTGCACCTTTAGCTCTTCCCCGACTGTCATACAGTTTTTTGCTCTTGTTGTTCCTCTTGAGCCGGCTGATTTGATTCTTGTATGAATAAGTATTTATCCGATTTAAACTCTTTTCAATGAAAAAGCACGTGTTTTTTTTCACGTGGGAACTGTTAGTTTTCTCAGGCTAATCGTCAGGATGAACCAGGATGATTACTAATCAGGATGAAGGTTCCTATTACTCGGTTTATAAATATCACTCCAAAGTCTTATTAAACGATCAGACAACAGGTTATTCTTAGGTTGGAGGTCACAGCAAAAAAGATCCCGGACCGACCTGAAAAGCCAGTTGGTGGATGAGTCCCATGTAAAAGCTCCAATGACCCATCTCTAGGACAACCCTAGATAAACAACAGCACACAACAAAAGACCTCATAAAGGAGGAACACATTGGAGAGGAACAGCAGCCTTTGGATAAAATTTCTGTTAAAGCTAAATGCAAAATATTATTAAATGTTTAAAATAGGAAAGCATTTTCTTACATGCATTGACAAGGGTTTTCTGTTTTTCTGAAAAAAAATTTTTTCAGAGTATATTCAAGCGTCTAACTGTTGTGTGAGCAGAAGGCACTAAATAATGGTAAGGACTTTTTAACTTCTATTGACTTTTCATTTTCATAAAAGACCAAAAGAGAAACATCTGGTGGTTTTCTTACATTCCTTCCCATTCTATAAACTTTATAGCCTTCAGGTACCAAAAAGTCAAGATCTCAAAGTGCCAAACCTGCGGCAAAGAGCAAAAGAAAGCGCTCGTCCAAGAAGAGGTCTGTCAGTGCCAAATCCACAAAGACAGATGTGAATATTCTGAGTCCAGCTGCCATGGAGAACGTCTACTACATCTCCCATAATGCAGTGGACTGCTTGGAGTTCAGAGGATTTGGCTGGACTGGAGCCACCAAGAAGAAAGGAAAAAAGGGCAAAAAACAAAAAAGCAAAAAATGATATGTAGTTTTGTGCCAATTAAACTATCTGTAAATCTAACAAACATAAATAATTTATTTAATAGATTATTTCACGGCCAGTTGTTGAATGATAAAGTGGCCAATTTGATTAATTTTAGCCAAAAAATTGATTTGTAAAACGTTACATTTATCTCAGCTGACTCTTTCTTTTTGTTTCGTTTTTTTATCCTATCATATAAAACTTGTTACAACCCAATAAATGTTGATTCCTGCAAACTGTTTTTTTGAAACTCTATAAAAGGTGTTAAAAATCAACTAAGATTAGAAGCAGAGATATTGGAATTAAAAACAAAATTTTGGAAGTAAAACAATAAAGTTGGAATGCCAGTGCACTGTAAAAACACCAGAGAGCAGTGCAGAACATATACAGGTGCATCTCAATAAATTAGAATGTCGTGGAAAAGTTCATTTATTTCAGTAATTCAACTCAAATTGTGAAACTCGTGTATTAAATAAATTCAATGCACACAGACTGAAGTAGTTTAAGTCTTTGGTTCTTTTAATTGTGATGATTTTGGCTCACATTTAACAAAAACCCACCAACAAATTAGAATACTTCATAAGACCAATAAAAAAAAAACATTTTTAGTCAATGCAAAAAAAAAAAAAGTCAGGAGGGGAAAAAATGCATTACATAAACATGTTGGCGGAAATGCCAGCTGTACTTTTGTATTGCAATTAACAGTTAACAGCACATCATTAACAATGCAGGAACCTTATTTCCTTTTAGTCCAATTACAGTGGATAGTGGAAGTGTCTAAACGAAATTCCATTCGAAGTCTGCAAGTTTTCTCAGAAGAGAGGAAACCTGTGGGTTCACAGTAGTGTTCTTTTTCTGCACAACTTGGCCAGTCTTCTTTGAAGTCACCTTCCCTTTCTTGGTTTTTGATCCACGTTCCGGGTTGATGTCGAGAAAGCGTCTACAAGGCAGAAAACAAACAACAAAAAATACTATTATGTTTATGCCAATTTCGATCTCTCTCTCTCAACCAGATGTGTTTCAAGGATTTGTTTGGATATAGTTAATATTTCAGGTTAGATCAGGTTCCCTTAAGATAAATAATAATCACCACCATTCAGTCAATTAGTTATTAACTTTAATGGTAATTTACTACAGTAGGTGTTACTCTCTCCAGACACCCATATGTGTACATAAAATAAGCCACATAAAATGTAAAAAAAAAATGCCAGAAGCTTTCAAGTACATTCAAAGAGGCAAATGAACGTTAGTCGAAACACCAAAGAAATTAAAAACAGCCTCTAGCGCAATTCATTGTTCCACTTAGCATATGCGTGACCTGTAACAGTTGAGAGTGCTTGACTAAAGCTGGGCTTTGTTAGAAGTTTATCAGAGTGATTTTCCAAACACGTACACGCTCACACACACTTTTACAAACACAGATAAACACAGAGCAGAAGACCGGCTGCAGCGGCAACGGCAGCTCATACAATGTCCCGGGTTCGTCGGATGGCGCAGCACAGCAGCATGCTGAAGATCATGCCGAAGATCTGCCAATGAAAGAGACACGGTTAATATCTGACACCAGTGTGACCCGAGGAGAAAGACTCGGCTACAAGCTCTGGAGCATTAAAGCTTTTTAGGTGAAAATGCACAGAACCATATGCATAAGTATCTCCTCACCATGACCACACCAATGCCAATCCCAACCCCTCCAATCACGTGAAGCCTAGAGGTGAAGATCTCCTTAATAGCATCTGGGCAGCTCTGGAGAGTAACACAAGAGGTAACAACGGCACATGGAAAAAGACATTTAACTGAAGAGATTTTGCTTAAAAAGATTCAATATTTATTGAGTTTCTTATACCTTTGTGACAAAGGCTTGAAGTCCCTCCTCTTTGGGACAGGTTTCGGCTGCTCCATCAAAAACTGTTCCTGATGGTCCACAGCACCTCAGCTGAACATATATTGAGTTAGTTTAACATTACGTTTTATTTCCTCCGTTCATTCAATGTTTCTGATGTTATGGTTTGAACAAACCATTAAAAACGACCACTTACTCCGTACTGAATGGCTCGCAGACTTTCTCTCAGCGCTTCCTGTTTAGATTCTTTGTATTTGTTGAACGCCTCTGTGTAGAACTGCTGGACATCTGACACGATCTGAGGAGGAGGAGAGAAATAAAGAGAAAATGAAAGCGTATCAGGATAAAGGGGCCTTAAAAGAGAATTAACTTTCAGAAATATTAGCGATTCGACTGCACTGACACTAATGGATGAGAACCGAATTGAACTCGACATTAACACTATTGTTTTCAGTAGAGCTGCCTTTAAGTTATTTCATTACTGAGAGACATTTGCAACTTTGACAGTTATTGAATGGAACTGAATCAATGTTTTTGATCTGCATAATGACACTATTGTTCTTTACAGCTGCTTTATAGCTGGATAGAATTATTTCGTATTTGATCACTGCCATCAATCACTGTACTGTATAAAGCAAAGTGCAATATAAATAAGTGTGACTTGACTTTCAGGAGAATGACCGTCACCCACCTTGTCTTGATTGGACAATCCCCAGATTCCAGCGACCACCTCTGCTGCAAAAATGATGAGCAGGAACACAAAGAACTGGAGTGAGCAAGAAAAAGTGAGAGATGAAGTGAACAAGGACATCAGCATTTTCATTCTCATCCTGCCAACCAGAAAGAATAAATCATGCATGTGGGTCAAAGCCACATGATAACCATCAACCAAAAAAAGGTCCTTTATTGGAATCAATGGCTCCATGAAAAACCTTTAAAATCCATGGGAAATTTATAGTAAAAAAAACATTCTTTAGAAAAAAAATGGACTAAGGAAAGGAAAAATGAAAAAAGTTTTTATTTTTTATGAACTGTTCACTAAAAGGTTCTTCGAGGAACCCAAAATGGTTCCTCTATGGCATGACTGCAAAAACCTTTAATTTTTAACAGTGTAACTGCATCAATAATATTAATGTAAAAAAAATCTGTTTGTTTTATGCTGTAGGAGTAGAATATGGGAGGACTCACCAGTCCCAGCATGCAAGCTGATTCTCTTATTGCTCCACAGCAGCCGAGGAACCCAACCACCATCATGACGGCACCAGCCACAATGAGGATGTAGACCCCTGAGGTGGAGAAATAGACAACATTTATTATTCCCATTTACTTACCATTACATGTGTCTTACTATTTCTTTGGCTTCTCATCTGAAAAAAACAGCTTGAAGTCAAAGGCATTTACTGTAAATGGCATTTTTGTCAGATTTAAAGGGGTCATATGATGCTATTTTAAAGATCAGTATTTGGTGTAATAGAATATGTTGACATGCTTTAATGTAATGTAAAACACATTCTTTTTCAAATACTGTACATTATTGTAGTTCCTCTATGCCCCGCCTCTCTCAAACGCGTTGTTTTCAACAAAGCCCCTCCTTCCAACAAGCGCAGTCTGCTCTGATTGGCCAGCTGACCCAGTGCATTGTGATTGGCCGAACACCACAAGCACGCGTCGGAAATGTAACGCCCCTTACCATAATCGCAGCTTCAACAGTGAGGATGCAGTACACAAGCCGAGGTTAAGACAGCGACGTGCTATGATTTCTGACAGGCCGTTCACTCTCCTGTGATGTGACCCTGTTCCCCTCACACACACACACACACACACGACGCGTTACTCTGCGCAAAACTCCGTATTTGAACAGTCAATAGCAAGTACTTAAACTAATAACAACACTTACAGTCGCTGATTCAGAATAAGCGCCAGATTGTCATAGCAAAGTCAGAATTGACCCTTTTTTTTTTTGGAAATAGCCTTTGAGCACAGCCAGCCTTGTACTTGTCTAGGTTCACAAAACTGTCTTCCATAAAATGCACTGCACAAATTCGAACATCTGGGTTGTGCTGTTCTGTTGTAAATAAATCTTAACCAATGATTCCTCATTGCATCTACTTCCGGAAGGTCAAACAAAATGCTTTTGCTTTCGCACAGAAACACACAGCGTCTCCCTGACATGGCTGCGTCAACACTCCTGAAACCACGCCTTCTTTCTTTGCATGAACATTTTCGTGAGGTAGACATGTGGGGGCGTGTTTGAATGAGGCGTTTTAGCCCGGTCTGGATCGGCCTTCTCTTTTAGATAGAATAAATCCTTTTGTGGGAGACTTTGAGCTTTGTAACTCTGCAGATCTTATACATGCACAAACAGCTACATAACACACTAAAGAAAAGGAAAACAAGAAATCGCATCATATGACCCCTTTAATTTATCACAACCATACATTATTCTCAATGTATAAATTATAACTTTTTCCTTTAGCTACTTTATCAGAATAAACGATGCAAAGCAAGATATGCAAAACAAAATTCCATGCAAGTGGATTGTGCTGTATCCATAGAAACGATGAAACACCAACCTACCACACTCTTAAAAATAAACTGGAATCTGTGGTTCCATGAAGAACCTTTAACATCTATGGAATCTTTCCATTCCACAAAAGGCTCTTTAAAGGAAAAAGGTTCTTCAGATGATTCAAATATAAAATAAGTTTTTTTAAGAACGGTTCTTTCATGAGGTACTTTGGGGAACCAAAAATGGTTCTTCTAAACCCCCTGTGGAACCTTTATTTTTAAGAATGTAGCTGCTTTTCTGGACTGGATGCCCTGCTGTCACTCAAAGTGCTTTCAAAACCTCTGACAGGCACTTGGACACTTGCCTACAAAGTTTATCATGTTTCTGGATTGATGGAGGCAAACATTCTTCTGACAAATCTTGAAAAAGGAAAATAAACAGGCCAAACAAAAGGAGGTGTGAAGGGAGCAAACAATGCGGGTTCTGTTGGCGAGGAGGAGAAAGGCAGCTCTGTGAGGGATGATGGGAAGGGGCAGAGCTGGCATCATGTGGGCCAAAGACAGCCTCCTCCAAAACAGTACTGCCATTATAACTCAAACAACCTGCCTCTTAAAAAACAAATATGCAAACAGAAACCCAACATCCCTGTCACTATATTTAGGTGTTTCCAACCTTCAAAAACTGAGGGATGTTTTATTAGAGGGCTGGTTTTCGGTTTAAAGTTAATTTTGCTGGTTGTTTTGTGGTCTTTCTCCACAAGCCAGATTGAAAGAATTCATTCTTTGTGCCTTTCATAAAAACACAGCCTAGAAGAATAGATAGAGTGCTTTGAATATTACTAGGGTTGCACGATAAATCGCACAGAGCCGTTGTTGACTGACGAGCTGCGCAAAAAATCGCGCGAATATGAACGTGGTTTTGCGCAGCTCGTCAGTGAACAACGGCTCTGTGTAGTTAATGCTGCTCAATGTGAAAGCACGCAGGTGATGGAGATTTACCGCTGATTACAGAACCGGCTTTACTGATAAGATGCGCGTTAAATATCGCATGCGATTTATCGTGCAGCCCTAAATATTACACGTTTTTGTAGTGGTCAAGCTATTTGTGTCGCTTTAAGAACAGGATTGTTCCGTGAATGTTGAATGACCAAGTCAGGGTCTTGTCTGTCAAAATTTTGGAATAATTGCAATTTTTTTTTATACTTTAAAAGAAGAAGTCTCTTATGCTCAACAAGGCTGTATTTATATGATCAAAAATATATCAAGCAGCAAATCAGCATATTAGAATGATTTCTGAAGGATCATGTGACTGAAGACTGGTGTAATGATGCTGAAAATTCAGCTTTGATCACAGCAATAAATTACATTTTAAAATATATTCAAATAGAAAACAGTTCTTTTACATTTGAATAATTTTTCACAATATTACTGTTTTTACTGTATTTTTGATTAAATAAATGCAGCTTTGGTGAGCATAAGATACTTATTTCTTAATTATTCCAAAGTTTTGACTGGTGGTGTGCACATTTTTTCATATACATATACATATATATACATATATATATTTATCTGTACAGAAGCCAGAACAACTCTGTCTTGTTTCAAGCTCCTGATTCACATTTCATTTGCTTCATGTTGAATCAAAGTGTTCATGACGCACTGTTCACATGACAGATGGTCTGGTGTCTGGAAATAGGTGTGGCTGGTTTCCATGACCACCATTGTACCACATACACAAACATCAACTTATAAAGACCTGATCACGTGATAAAATGAGCTGTATGGAGGTGTATGGAGATAAGGAGGGTTTTTGAATCACTGAGAAGTTATTGATGACTTAGGAAGGGTAACCTAGAAATACAGACCAAACTCACCAGTGAGGAACACAGATGAAGCATTTTCTCCAGTGAAGAATCCTTTAGTTCTTTCATCGAAACGCAGCCAGAGACCGACAGCTAAAACTCCTGTACCTGCGAGCTGAGGAAACAAACAAAACCTTTAATAAATCTAGGTATGCGTTTAGTTTGAGATACAGTGACAACAGTGGCATTGGCAAACTGAGCAAACACAGAGGAAACATAGCTGCAGGCTAAGTGTGGAAACATTTACAAAGGTGAAGCATCCAGGAAGTTAGGTCCAACATTTCCCTCTTTTTCCTCAGAGAATGAAGTCCAACAAGCCTTATGGTACAAAGGCAC